TTAAAATAGACAGTATAATTACCCATGGAATAATGTGGGGATTTTTTGTGGGAATAATGCAGGTAGGTTAGGTACACACAACTGTGTAATGAAATTCTGAAGTGAAAGCTCTCTCGGATCTGTTTTGACAATAAATACAATACATGTTCCCTGTTCAAATACATTGTGTAGTCGGAAGTGAATCTCATAAATTTTGTAATTTTGTACCAGTGAAATGTATGTTCTCAGCTCATGATCTAAGCCACGAAGGGAACAAAGGTCCAAAATTGGCCCCAAACATTATGCCACAGATTCACAGCTTTAGAAACCACTATGTCACCATTTGATTCAAACTTAAAGGGAAAGAATAGATGTGCCTGTCCCTTGTCTTTGACAGAGAGGTCATTATTTTGTCAGTGAGACCAGAATACCTGCATGGCATTAGCATATTTTTTAATAACAATTATTCCACTAACAGGGCACTAGATATAACTTTTGAACAGTGCCATGGAACACCACCCTTTCCCTCATTTGACCGCTTTTCTAAATGGCCCCTCCAATCTCATGATTATTAAATACATCCAGTCTATTAATTTTCCATTTAATGCAAGTTGGATGGAAGTCTGCCCACTGCTGACCCTTAGCGTTCGTATGATCTATTATCATGATTTCAATATCTAGGGTTGTCGCTAGGTAGCTATTGAGAGGCAGCCACACTGCTAGTGTTGTATCAATATTAACTGACTATGCTGTTTATGTTTTGAAGTTTTTTTTCCGTCCTGAAGGTTTTTTTCCCTCCAATCTTTCCACCTCGCTGGAATGAGAGACACAGAGATCAGACCACTCAGGAGTTTATTAATATTTTGGGCACTGATAATTTTGATATCATGTTTCTATAAAATATGGATATTGTACATGTATATCATGGTGGGGTTTTTGTTGTGTTTTGTTATGTTTTGTTTTTTTTTCCTGAAGTTTACTTAGTCTGTCAGAGTATTCCAAAGGGCCAGATCACAACTTACGGTACATTTATGACAAAGAAATGCTTTCATTTGGTCTTTTAACCTGTCAAAATAAATCTTGGAAAAAATGTTTCTGGAAGTTTTTTCCCCAGATTCTGTCTATTTTGACTTTCTGATTTGGTATTACAAAAACATAATGACCTCAAGGGTCAAGGATCAGATTTCTCAGTTTTGTTGTCAACTTGTTAGAGTTTTCTCTTTCACATTGGAGGTTCTGCAGAAATGAATACAATAACCCGTTATCACGATTATGCATGCTCTGGAGAAGTCCATTACAACCAAATTCCTCTTCGTCTGTCTACACAGAACCCTTGTTGAATCTGATCGGGATGGGACAATACCACCGTGGCCCTTTATTCCCTTTCAAAATGGAAGCGGAAAAGAAAAAAAAAACGTCACCTACCTGAGAAAAAAGAAAGGGGGGGGAAGCCAGTGTTTGGGCCTTTCAGTCAAAAGACCAAGTTTATCTTTTTACGAGGCATAATTGTGAGTGGAGGTTGTGACTTAAGGAATAAAAGCCCTCCAGTTATATATCCTTACCGTCGGTCTGAACATAACAAGCAGCCCCAGCGCTGACAATACCTTGTTTTCACAGTGCCATGGGTATATCAAAACACTGGCGTTTGGGTCCCTGTTGTGTGTAGTACTAGGAGCCTAGAGGTCCCCAGCTTTCAAAGACCAAGGGTAAATTGGCTACTTTCTGTTCACAGACTGGGGGGGGGGGAACTTTCTCTTTCTTTCATCTTTGGTTCCCCCAGAACACTGAAAAGCTTGCCACCGCTAACCACAAAATCCTCCTGTGAACATGCATAACACACATGCTGGTCCCAAGCCATAAAGTCAACATGGGACATAGGCTAAACTGTGATGTTTTACCAGATGGGCAAATCCATTCTGGCAGTATTAAATTCTTATTTACATATTTATGAATGAGATTTTTTTTTCCTTGAGAGGGGGCTTTTTCCTGACAGTGAATTTCAACTTAGACGTTTGTGATTATGTGCTTGTATTTCTGCCAAGTTTGACAAGGAATATGGACACACTATCTGTCTTAATAAAAATGGGTCCACATAAAATGTTGATCACATCCTCGTGATTGGAGGTCGTCGTACCGTTCACAGTCATGGAATTGTATGTCACAGTACTTTCCAAGAGTGTGCTAAACCGTACCCGGCATCGTGGCCTTATTGCCTACCCAGAAGTTAACAAATTTCCATTGGCAGTATTGAATACTGTGTGAATACAAAGCAATGAATGCATACACATGCACACCAAAATGGCCGCCTCTGGCCTTAGTTTGCCTTTCTCATTCAATCCTGGCTCCAAAAAAAGGAAGGGGGGGGTAAGAAAGAAAAGAAAAGAGCCGGCTGCGAGTATCTCATTAATTCCTTAACCATTCAACCATGTGCTGTTAGCCTGTACCAGCCATCCTGCAATCCCTGACCACGACATAAAAACCAGCTTGTTCACCCCAGCATCCTGCCAGTCGCTGGCCAACTAACCTTGGCCGGCAGACAACCAGTCTCCACTGGACCATATTAAGCTCATAGGAGGTCAGAAAGCCTGCTGCTGTAACTGGGGCTCGGCGATCCCCAGAGACCCAACCTCACAACAGCTGCTGAGGACTTCCTCCTCCTGGCTGCTCAGCCTTGGAGACGGAACAGAGCCTAGGCAGTTCTCAAGGCAGCCGTGTTTCCTCCCCCCCCCCCATCCCTTCTGAAACATTACTGACTTTCTCCCCCTGTGTTCACAGCACACACTTATGCAGATTCTGATTGCATAACATATACCATTTTTTCTTCAGCTGGTGGTTTTGGTAGGGGTTTGAGATGTCAGTTTTAGATCCTTTCTCTTGTATTTATCCCCCACCCACCAGTGATCTGGGTCCTGTCTGTTTTGTAATGTGAAGGCATCATGTCAAAGTCCTGAGTTACTGGTGTTGTTACCAGGTGTGGATGGATGCTCTGTGCTGCAGGTTCTGGGACTAATATTGAATATACTCCCACAGATGTGTAACATCTTCATTTATATCAGACAAAGGACTCCACTGACTTCTGTACCAAGGAAAAATGAAATGTAATAGTAGGTGGTATCACGATTTTGCCCGGAACAGACCCCAAAAGCACAGTGCTGACAAATTTGATACAAAAATAACCCCAGTATCTTTTCCAGAGCTTAACCCAAAATTTACAAGGCTTTGGGCATTTTCTAAAACATGAAGGAAAAAAATACAAGAGTAAAGCAGACCGCAAAACTACCCTTTTAAACCAGATATATGTAAATGAAGTAATCCCCCATATCATAAAGGCTTGGTGGAGAGTACTAATACATACAAACCATCCCTGGCTCGTTTAAGAGGAAAAGCAAGACCCTTTTGAAGACTGCATGTACACAAGCCTTGATGATTGAGTGGAAAGGGGAGAAGGCACAAGGGGAAAAAAAGAGACTGGTGATTTATGTTCACTGTCACTAGATATCTGCAGATAGAACAGGGGCCCTAGACAGGGTTTTTTGGCTGTACTTGTTTTATGCCCTGCTGGCCAGATAAATTTTTGTATATAACTTGCTGTTGTATTTGTTATGGTATACTTGACAAGGCATGCCTGTAGAAACTGGGTCATCTAAATATGTACTTTGGGTCCCGTGTCAAGATCTTGGCAGGGAGGTTGTGAGATGGCAATGTTGGAAATTTTCACCGTTGTCATTTTTGAATTTTTTCACTTACAAATTTGTTACTTTTTTTACATGGGTTCCTAATGGGTGCTGAAAGTTGTTTATGTTGTATTTGATTATTTAGTCTATCCAGACCAATGAAATTAGAAACCTCAACCAAGTGTTTGTGTTGTTAATGGAATTTTTGTAATGGGTACATGGTTTTAATGGAATGACATAGAATAGACTGCAGTTCATGGCCAACATGTAATGGGTTTCTCTACTGTCGAGAGAGCATGTATGCAGCCCATATTACGTTTTATTAGGAGTATTCAATTACACCTGATAACAAGGAACATGATATGCTTTCCAAGTCGAGAATTCAAATGTGGCCAGAAATTTACTCTGTGTCCTTGTGTCTCAGACTCTTTTTGCGTTCCTAGCCGGTATTTTGTTCCTTGTCCTCTCTCTGGCAATCCTTGGGTAGAGCCAGGGGTCTGCCCCTGCTCACTTGCAGTCAACATCGTGCAGTGATTAATAGCCCTTTCAGCCTTAGCAAAGTCTGGCCTGGAATTGAAATGCTGGCTATTTTTCATTTTGCTTCATAACTGTCTCTACTGCTTTGGTCGGTCCCACGCTTTTTAAGATTGAAGGCTGCTTGCTGTCTTGCCTTGTTCGTCTCTGCAGTAATTTTACAGAAGGCCGGAGAGATTTTTTTATTTTTTTTTTTTTACCATGTCAGGGGTCTGGTGCCCCCTTCATGCAAGAAAAATTAGAGACAGGTGGAAAGAGCATTTGTTTTGGTCAGTGGCATTCCTGTGCTATTCATGTGGTGTAGAAAAAACTTGGGGGTTGGGAAAGGAGATGCTAGAATGGAAATAAGAATGGAGGTTGTTGCTGTCAATATTGCAGAGTGTCCGTAGGAGGATTTACAATCAGAAAGTACCTGCATGGTTGATCATGGAGATGCTATCAAAGTTCATGAGAATAGAAATGTTGATGGCAGTTAGCGAAGTACATGTATAAAGGTATTGAGACTAGACAAGGAGGGTTGTTGTTGTTGCTGCTGTTGCTGTTGCTGCTGCTGCTGCTGCTGCTGTTGTTGTTTTCAGAGAAAACAGTCTTTCAATTAAAAGGGGCATTTATGGCTAGAACGGGTAGCTGAAGGTTTGAGGTTTTGAACTTTCGATAAATTTCAGCCCATCTAGCCCTCAACTCCTCCCTATTCCTTTCCCTTTTTCTTAAACCAGGAAATCACCTGTAAAGTCAATTTTTCCAGTGTCACTGACTTTTTGTGCGACGTTGATTATGTTGTTTGATTTTCCTTTTTGTTTCTCCTTTGCACAGATGCTCAGGACAGTAGAGGGCAGCCTCACTGGTGTCATATAGCATATTGGGAGCACCGGTCACGAGTGGGACGCATGTACACAGTATTCTTGGACTCTGTAAATATCTTCTATGAACTACCTCACGGAGACGGGTTCTGCCTCCGGTCGTTACACCGCGAGGAGCGCTCGGAATCCGTCATCAGAACTCGAAGGAAGGTCGGCTGCGGGCTGACCTTGAGCCGGGAAGTGGATGGCGTGTGGATGTATAACCGTAGCAACTTTGCCTTATTTGTCAACTCCCCTACGCTGGATGCCCTGCCCCCTTCTCGGACGTTGACCGTGCATAAGCTCCTGCCGGGCTTCTCCATCAAGATCTTCGACTTTGCCAAGTCGCAGATGCTGGAGCACGCCAGGCGAGAGCCCGAACCCCCAGATGGACCAGTGGATCCGCACTCCATCCGCATCAGCTTCATCAAAGGATGGGGACCCCGTTACTCTCGGCAGTTCATCACCTCTTGCCCCTGCTGGCTTGAGGTTATCCTGACCAGACCACGTTGACACTGTCCCAATCTGCAGACATTTTATGTACACTTCTAGATCTAATATAATATTTTATATATTATATATATATTATATATTATAATACTGTAAATATGGACTCATTTTTACAATGTAATTTATGGTGCGGTTGTACTCTCCTCTTTGTTATTAACAAACACAGATCGAAAAAAAAACAAATCCCCCTCCATGGAAATCCATGTTAGTTAAGATATACCCCCATTTCTGTACACTTACGGACAGATTTTCTTTTATACACCAGAAATGATTCACATTGCATTTACAGAGATGAGGCAGATGGTTGTTACCAATAAAAACAATTTAATATGCACTCTTGATATGTATGTGTCATCCTTGACTTTTTCCAAATTATGTGAATATGCTGAAGAGTTGTCTCATTGAGCTTAAAATTTGAGGGATGGGCGTAGTTTTCTGGTGCTTTGGCCTCGAATTCATACTTTCATTGAGTTTTGAATGACAGAGTACGTGGTATTTGATCAAATCATCCAATACTAGCATGCATGGTTATTGTATCTATTCAATGGAGTATTATTGCCATGGTGTGAAACAATAGAATGCTGTGCACATTGAGGATGTGACTTGTGGTATGGATTGTGAAATTGATTGCTTAAGACAGCATGATGACTGGACTTGGGCGGTGTGCACGTTGCTGGGTAGACAGATTAATGGATGCCGAGTTGTATGTGCTGGAAAGCCTGTATTGCTAGGTGTGTACGCCATGATGGGAGCATGTTTGTTGATGTGTGGATCCCAGCGAAGCTGACTGGTGTCATTTACTGGGTTGATGTATAGGAAGGATTGCTTTGACATAAAATGAGCGAAGGTGGTGCAAAGGACACGTTGTGAGCCTCGTGTGGTGGTTGATGGGAGACAAAACGGGAACAAGACGACGATAACCAGGCATGAAGCACGCGTAGATTGGGAGGGGACTTTCTGGAAAAAGGCCTTGGAAATGTTCAGTAAAATTCTAGATATTAAGATCGGTTCGCATGGATGGGAACTCGGTACTGTGAGAACAAAGGGCTGTGCGCAGTGCCATGTGAATCGTATTACCCTATCATTGACCCTGCCCCCTGTGTGAAATGTTAGATCCCACAGATGAATTGTGGCAAAAACTTTAATTATCGCCCCTGAGAAAAAAATGGTAATGGGGCACCGGTTTGTGTACCTATCATCATTCTGAGGGGTAATTTGCGCTCGAAATTAAAAAGATCAGTCAAGCTTCAGCATTTGCAAGCAAACACCGGCAACAAAAACAAGGAAATTCATCATCGGCGGAGACTGAAGAGCGATCCGGACGGTCGACTTGCTCTTCCCGTCAAGCAGCGAGCCACAGCGGAGATGATACTCGCCTTGTTGCCCGTCGTTATTTTCCAGCGGTAAATGAAAACAATGGTAGGCGTAAAAGAAACGGCAAGAAATCAAATAATAAAACATCCCTGGCATTTTTTCTCCCCCCCCTCTCTCTCTCTCTCTCTCTCTTCCTCTTTATTCTAAGCGGTCCGAGGAATAAAAGCCCAGGCCTGGGTGATTCATGCGTTTTTGCTGGACGCGGCAGCGCGCGGAGCGCGACGTGTAGTCGACCCGGGATCCCAGACTTTCTGGAGCCAACCAGCCCAACCGTGCACTGATTCCGGTGTGGGTTGGCGCATGCACTGATCACTCACGTCGATGGTAGACACTGAAGTGCGCTGGAGTCAGTGTACGAAAAGGGCTTAATCCGCTGTTGACTTGACGTCCAGAGGGAGTGAGTTGACATGACGCAATGTCACCGTGGAAGATTGAGCGTAGCTAGCGGGTAGCGGCCGGCGGCTCTCTGGCCCCGTGTTCCCGGATCACTGGCTCATGGAAGCGCTTGATAATACGCCAAGATAATGTCATCGTTGCATGGGATTGATCAAATTAATTAGCGATATCTTCCCATTATTTGTTAACTTAGAGATAGCTTTTGAAGGTAGCCGTGGCTCTTTCGAAACTCCTCTTTCGAGTTAAATAAAAAACCTTTCAGTTTTGAATGCGAAAAAATTACTGCGTTTGTGAAGTATGACACTCGAATGCAACAAAGGCGAGTTACAACTCGACGGGAAAAAGTGGTTTGGGACCAGTCTTCTTCCATTTGTTTGCATTATTCTGACAAAGAGACATCACTTTCTCCCAAGGGTGTCGAAAGGGCTGAAATTTTTATCAGGATTGCCCCATCAAATCACCTTTGGAAATACATGTACAAAGGTTAATGTACACCCTACTGGAATATAACTCTTGCCCGTACGCCATGCTGCGCTCTGTCCGCCCAAACATCGTGCCGACGGCACAGTCTAAAAAGAAGCGCCCTCTACCGTTCAGATTCTCCCGTATAAGATACGTACAAGTAATGCACAGATAGGGCTTCAGTTGTCAATCCACATGTACTCTATTAATATGATCAGAATTCGCTCACGGAAGTGGTGAGTTACGAATGTGACGAATTCGGAGCATTGTGGGACATTGTTATATGAACATTTTGCGGCATTTGATAAAATAAACTGAACAAAATTCCTTCACCTTATCGGAGAGACCGCCTTAGTCATAAAAATAGAAAAATTACCATGTGTGTGACCTCTGCAGCTACAGTTGTCTCAAAACCGTCGCTTCAGTACCAGGCGGCAGATCCCGTGTTGAACAAAGATTATCAATATTATTTTACAGTGCCTTACTATAAATATCAGGTGTAATGCGGCCGCTTTGACTGTGGTGTTGCCGGCCTGTCATCGACCCGTTCGGGTCGGCCAGAAAGGACGGGCCGCGCACGGGCCCAATACGCGGTATCTTCCTTTGATACCAATTGTGCGGAAAATCGGCCACAGCTGTGCGGAGGCAAGACGGTAGGTTGTCCGTCATTGTTGCTGATCTTCTTGTTATGATTAGTTATCAAAAAATAACATTTCTGGTTGTTTTTATTTGTGTCGGCAAGTATTGATGCCAGCTTGTTCAGACCAGAAAAATAGGAATTTGAGCCGGTGTTCCAATGTTTCGCTGGATCAAGAAAAGGATAGGAATTGAATGTGTGCCAATAGGCCTGTTTTCCATTCTGAAATTCGGAGCTGCTCTAGAAACAGACATTTTCCTGATTAATGTCTGTTCTTGATGACGTCGTCAAAGACAGGACTATTTTACCAAATATGGAAAAAACCTTTGGTGGATGTTTACCAGTCTTTAGAAACTTACACACCATTTCCGTGTGTTTTAGATTAACAATTCTGTGCTTCTGTTCACATGAAAATATCAAGGCCAGCGTCCTGAACACGTGTACAGTACCGGTGTCGTGTTTGAGGGCGACGTTTTGTCTATACCCCAGCCAACATTGTGAGCAATGGAACCTGTTTACCTCGGAGTGCACTCTTGCAACCATTTCCCCAGTCACTAGGCCGGGTTGTTTGGAAGGAATAAACAAGATAAGTCAATTATGTTATCAAATGTTCATTGTATCGCTGTCATGTCTCAAATATTGTAACATTGTACATTCTATCGAGACGATTGGTCGGACTAGAGAAGATTCTTGTATGGTCGTTAAAGTCTGTCTCTGTGATCGGGAGACGATCTTAGTTTTGGGCTGAGCCACTGAATAACACACCCGTCTTTATTCATTCGTAGGACCATCTCTTGACCATTCTAAAGACACTTAATTAACCTGCGCGTGACGGCCAACATGGCGCACAGTTTACTCGTCCGTCCACTTGGCATATCTTCAAATCTTACTCGCGCGGTTCGCTTGCTTATGTCAGGTTAGTCATGATTTGTCCACAATTGCAAGTATGTAGCTGAATTGATGCGTTGTGAGTTTCAAGTGAAGTATAGGGATGTTTCTCTCTGAGCAAGCACCAAACTGGCCCAAATCGAAATAATGAATAATAAATAAAAAATATGAAAATAATAGACTTTTTTTTCAAACCAGAAAAAAAGCTTCACGAATTAAAATGTTGTTTCCCAAACAGCAAAACAATAATTATAGTAGGAAAGTTCCTGTGTCAATTAAAATTTAGCAGATATGAGCAAATGACGGAGATTATGCGACTCGGAATTTTAACTCCAGCTGTTGGTTCATTTACTGTTCAATGGTCCCACTGTGGCATGGCCTAGGTTTCAAGCAGTCGGTGAGTGGTTTCCGTGAGTGTTGTCGGTTCAACTTGTCCGTTAAAAGTTATTTTCAACGGCCTCCGACGCTAATTAAGAGTGACAGGCCGTGGAGGAAGGTCGCACATTTCGCCCCGATGTTCAGTCTCGAGATACCGACCAGGCGCCGTGAGATTGTCCCCTGATACCTCAAAAACCCAGAGCTGGAAAATATGGCTTGTAATTTTGAGATTAAGGGCCGTCTGTTTGCGTTCTTTCTAGTATAAGTGCTGGTGGTTTTCTGTTTTGTGCAGTTTTTTTTTTTGGTTTATTAACTCGCAAGCACATGTCAAATATATTAATGATTTGACCTTGCGGTGTGAGAGTGCTGGTTTTTGTATTACGGTAATTGCATTGAAACGAGATGAACATTTCTCAGAAGGTGGCCCAACTGTTCTATAAATTATGCCATTTCTCTTCAGACTGTCCTGAAGACATCTTGGTTATAAAGAAAGACGAACAATAAGTTTATCCCTAAGCAACTTTTGTTTGCGAATGCCTTTCTTTCAAAGAGTTCCAAACTTTTGCACCTTCCACTGTTTTGGATTATTAAAATACCTTTGATACTGTTTTAATAATGGATTTTTACCCCTCACACCGAATTACATTCACAACACGCACTGTAAAGGCGAAACCCATCATTAAAGATTCAACATACCACCGACACAAAGTGCAACTTTGAAAATAGTTGACAACTTTGATATTTACACAAAAGAGGCTTTTGTATTTTCATCTCCTGAAATGCTTGCAGCACTGTAATGTTAGATATGCAGAGCTATTGTTGATAAACTTTACATAGGAAAACAATTTTTAAACACCTTTGAAAGACGTTCATACTGACTAATTGCCATTTTGTTAGACCCCGAATTGATAAACTTTTTATTTCCTTGTGACTCTTTCTTCAAACGATTAAAAAAATCTTCAAGCACCTTTGAATTCACACATATCGGCCAGCTTTCACATACATATGACATTTGATTCATCTAATCTGTGTATGGGGTGATTCCCCCTCGTCTCCAAGAAATGACAATTAATATTGCATATGAGCCATGGTCTAGCCCTAACCTTGGATGTCGCCTGCAAATATGGCAGGGAAGCCATAGAATTTCCGCCTGTGTGCACATCTAATGACACTGGGCGCCAAATGTCTACTCCAAAAACTCTGCAA